GACTCTAAACAGCCGATAAAAACATCACAATAATTCACAAGTAATCCACTCCACTCCAGTCCATCAGTTAATGCCTTGAGAAGTGAAAAGCTGCATGTTTGTAAGAAACAAATCCATCATTAAGACGTTTTAAACTCCAAACAGTTGCTTCCGAGTCCTCTATCAATAATAATCCTTCTCCAGTGAAAAAGTCGCCTGTCTGAATCTGGAGAGAAATCTGCACAGATCAAACACGTTTACAAGCAAAAACAGCTCTAAACAAATATGTGGGTGGATGTTGATGAAAGAGACAACAGAAGATGGACTTTTTCACTGGAGGAAGCGTTATTATGGATTATGGACATATTTTGGCCAGAAGCAATGGTTTAAAGTTAAAATGTCTTAATGATGGATTTGTTTCTTACAAACACACAGCTTTTGGCTTCGTACATTAATGTACACAAACCCACTTATACTTTAGTTTTGAAGCAAGAGCAAAATGTGATATATTTTACAAAAACAAGAGTGAGAATTCAAGACCGTACAGATGGACACAACATGCTTGGTAAGTACAACTAAAAAAGAACACTATTATTATTATTTATATTAATATTATTTTGCATAATAGCTGCATATATATTTGTGTGTGTATATATATATATATATATTTGAATTATATATAGTAATTCTTTTTAATATTATTTTGTGTGTGTATGTATGTACATATATATATAATTTTATTTATTTATTTGCAAAAACACAGATTTAATGTTTGGTTTATTGAGCATCAGCAGCCATAGATATGTATATTTTTCTGATTGCAGGAATCCTTCTCATGCTTGATTCTTTCTGTATTTGTGATACTGTGTCTGCCGCTGTCAGCCACATCTCATTTTCCTTCCCAGAATGCAACAGGTACTGAAGTACACTTTATAGGTCCAGTTAGTATTGCTCTGGGTAGCAAAAAAAAGAATGAACTTTTGACGTTTTTAGCTGCTTACTTTCTATATAGTACAACTGTCAAGAGTTACATATAAAGTTCACAATAAGACATTTGAATTGCATTTTTGTCAATTCAAATATCAAAAGTGAATGGCAGGTTTTGAAGTGAAATGTTTTCTGGTGTTTTTCAGTGTATTTGGGATCTAGTTTCATTCAGGAAGCTTTACGCAGAGCCAGAGAGCTGACAGACGCCGCGTATGCTCACACCAATGAGAGGTGAGACATACAGACTTTAGTCAAAGTCAAAGCTCATTTAAATGAAATATCAACCAAGCAAGTCAATAAAGGAAAATAGAGACAAAAAACAGACCCAAATGAGTCAGTAGTTGTCCTACAGTAAGGCTATAGAGCTATAAAATTATTTCTTTTCTATTCTATGTTTTGTGTTTGCTCTCTCATTTCTATCAGAGTGAAGACGTCCGTTTCAGACGGTTCTGTCCGACCCAGTGACCTGCTGGCCATGTTCAAACAAACCGGCCCGAAAACCAGAACCCACATCACATCCGCCGAGTTTCTGGATAATACCGTAGAGCTGATCAGAGAGATGGTTTACACACACTCCATGGACAAACCCGACCTCACCGGTACGCACTCATACATTTGGGTCATTTACAAGTACATGCATGACTCTGAAGTCATATCAACATCAGATGTGTGCGTTTCAGAGCTTTTAAGTGCAAAAGACATGGAGACCATACTGCAGGTAACAGGCTGTTCCTCAGAGACGCTGAGACACGTGTGTAAATCTGACTGTGTGTCCAAACGCTACCGTACCATCACAGGACACTGCAACAACAGGTACATGCACATATGTGACCCTGGAGCACAAAAGCAGTGTTAAGTCGCTGGGGTATATTTGTAGCAATAGCCAAAAATACATTGTATGGGTCAAAATTATCGATTTTTCTTTTATGCCAGAAATCATTAGGATATTAAGTAAAGATCATGTTCCATGAAGATATTTAGTAAATTTCCTACCGTAAATATATCAAAACTTAATTTTTGATTAGTAATATGCATTGCTAAGAACTTCATTTGGAAAACTTTAAAGATGATTTTCTCAATACTTTGATTTTTTTGCACCCTCAGATTCCAGATTTTCAAATAGTTGTATCTCGGCCAAATATTGTCCTATCCTAACAAACCATACATCAATGGAAAGCTAATTTATTCATCTTTCAGATGATGTATACATCTCAATTTCGAAAAATTGACCCTTATGACTGGTTTTGTGGTCCAGGGTCACATATTTGATATTTGATACACATCAAAATATATCATCATTCATTCAGTTTCCGTTCTCAAATAGCATCATGTTTGCTTTTATCAGTGCTGTTTTTGACTTTGCAGAGAAAACCCTCAATGGGGGGCGGCAAACACCCCTTACGCCCGCTGGCTGTCGCCGGAGTACGAGGACCCTCGAGGGGCCCCCAGGGGCTGGAACCCACAACACACCTACCACAACCACACACTACCACCTGTAAGAGTGCAGGACAGTCTGAGAAATACAGATGGAGGTTTAATTATTAGTCTGTAAACATAGTTAGGTTTTTTTGGTCTTTATAGAAATGTTATTGAATTTCTTCCTAAATTTTAAATTTAGTGTGCTTTATTAGCCTGACAAAACATTTACATTCATATTGTTAAAGTGTTTGGACATCATGAGAAATTGTGTATTAATAGTACATGCTACACACAATGGGAAATGCTGCTAAAAAAGGTAAAAAAAAAAAAAGAGAGAGAGAAATTACATTATTATTATTATTTAAATAAAATAAAAAACGAAATTATTCAAATAATAGAATCAATTATTATAAAAACGAATTTAAATAATATTAAAGAATAAAATAATCCTAGCCCAACAATAAACAATTAAACTCATTTATTTTATTAATAATAATTGAAATTTAATTTAATATGCAACTTACTATGCAATCAATAAATTTAATAAAAAGGAATTAGTTAAAGAAGTAACCTTGATAAAACAAGTAGTTGAAAAGCGAAGTGTGTATTTTTTGAAATTGCAATATTGGCTCAGCCATGGCAGAGATTTTTTTGCAGTGTTATTTTAGTCTTATTTTGAATCAGCTTTCATTTTCATACTTTTCGGGTTTCCTTTTAATTTCATTTTAGTTAAGTTTTAGCCATTTTGTTATGTGCCTTTTGTTATTTTTATAAATGTTTTCAGTTTTACTTCAACTTAAACTTATTTCCAAGGTAACTTTAAATTTTTTTAAGTATTATTTTATTTTATTTTATTTTAATTAACAAAAGCAGTTTTTAATAGTTTTATTTAACAATTGCAACACTGGTGCTTAGAACTTTGAAAATAGTAACTTTTTGCAGTTCTGTTTGGTGCCACCAGTGGCATAAAAATACACTACACACTTAAAAGTAAGGCTCCAAAAGGGGGTGTGTGTGTGTGTGTGTGTGTAGGTGTGTGTGTGTGTGTGCGTGCGTGCGTGTAGGTGTGTATGTGTGTGTGTGTGTGTGTGTAGGTGTGTGTGTGTGTGTGTGTGTGTGTGTAGGTGTGTAGAACATTTTCTGGAACGTACAGGTTCCAAGGATGTTAAAGGTTCTTCATGGAACCACAGAGGCCAATAAAGAACCTTTATTTTTAAGTGTCACTAAACTAAAGAAAAAAATAAGACCAAATGAGCCGATAATGGTAACGAACAGAAGTTTAGTCTTCCAGACTCAATCAGATCATAATCTCTCTTTCCAGGTCCGCAGTGTGTCGCAGGAGGTTTTGTACACTCATAATGAGAACATCTCTCTGGACATGTCTCTGTCTCATCTGCTGGTGGAGTGGGGTCAGTGGATCGATCATGACCTGACCTTGACCCCTCAGAGCCCCAGCACCGCGGCCTTTAAGACCGGAGCGGACTGCACACGCACCTGCAGCAGAGACACGCCATGTTTCCCGATACAGGTGCGTGTTACACCCTGAAAACCAGGGCCGGATTTACGCATAGGCATTCTAGGCACGTGCCTATGCTTGCTCATCCAGGGGGGGCCCAAACACAATGAAGAGATATATAATATTTTTCTTATACTATGGGATATCTACAACAGTAAAAGATCCAAAACCCCAGAAAACATTGAACAAATAAATATAACAAACAATAGGGTAAAAATGACAAACTATTTCCATGTCTTCCACCTTTTTTATGTATGGAAATCACGCTTTCCTCCGATTCTCTCGCATAGACACACACGCACTCGAGCGGAGACGCGGACAGAAAGTTGTCATCAACGCCACTGAACAATATCTTGATGTGTGATTGTGACTCCTGGCCGTTAAAATTATTAGAGAAATTACTCCCGAAGTGGTACGCCGCCGCGTCTATTAATGGAAATTAATCAAACAAATTAAGAACTACATTCGATTCGATTTTTATTGACTGAACGCAAGCGCTTATTGCGATAGAAAGCACTGTAACGGTTTCCACTAATTAATAAATATTTTTGTTTGCTTGGGTGGTAATATTAGGCCTATTATATTAATAGGGAAGGGGGGCCCAAAAATTAGTTTTGCCTATGTCACAAAAAGAAGTAAATCCGGCCCTGATGAAAACAGATGCCAGATCATACACACTCTGAACATCTGTCTCTTTTTCTTCGCGTTCAGATCCCTCTGTCTGACCCTCGCACTGGGACTCAAAGCTGCATGCCGTTTTTCCGCTCTGCTCCCAGCTGTACGGTTTCACTCGGTCACCGGGAGCAGCTGAACGCCATCACGGCATTCGTGGACGCCAATATGGTGTACGGGAGCTCGGATGGGCTGGCTGCCACCCTGCGAAACCTCTCGTCCCCTCTCGGCCTGCTCGCCGTCAACCAGTTCCACTCAGACCAAGGGCTCGGCTTCATGCCCTTCCTGACCCGCACGCAGCTGAACCTGGATCCCTGCGGCCCACGAGAGCGGATCGACCCCATCCCGCTACCAGAGACAGTGCAAAGACTCAACACATCCTTGGGGAATAGATCGTTCTGTTTCCAAGCAGGTTGTAGGCATTTTTCTGAGTATTCGTTGTGAGCATTCACAACCCATTTTGCTTCCATAATCACTTTAAATACTTGTGTCACTTTCACAACCCTTGCTTTTTGTCTTATACGCCATTCAAACAAACCATCCACATTGAAATCAGTGGGTTTTCAGCATCCTCTGATACAGCAGAAACTCTAGTACGAAACGTAAACAATGTAAAATTCTTAAATAATCAACCTTTAATGATAGTATTACTAGCTGTTTTAGTTGGTTTGTTTATTTATGTTCATGCAATTGATTTACCTCCCTCAATTTCAGTTAAATTCAGTTTGCTGTATTAGTCTGACAAAAGCATGTGTATTTATATTGCTAAAGCATTTGTATATGACAAATGGTATATTATAATACATACTACATACGATGAGAAATGGTCCCATTTTGCTTCCATAATCACTTTAAATACTTGTGTCACTTTCACAACCCTTGCTTTTTGTCTTATACGCCATTCAAACAAACCATCCACATTGAAATCAGTGGGTTTTCAGCGTCCTCTGATACAGCAGAAACTCTAGTACGAAACAAACAATGTAAAATTCTTAAATAATCAACCTGTAATGATAGTATTACTAGCTGTTTTAGTTGGTTTGTTTATTTATCTTCATGCGATTGATTTACCTCCCTCAATTTCAGTTAAATTCAGTTTGCTGTATTAGTCTGACAAAAGCATGTGCATTTATATTGCTAAAGCATTTGTATACAGCTTCGAACGCGGCTCAACCAATCAGAATCAAGGACCGGAACTCTCCGTTTTATAAGTTTACTGTATTTATGCATGTCTCTGATTTGCTGAATCTTGTTTGGAAGATCTTGACATGGGATCACTACTTGCCCCGCGTCCTGGGACGCAGTGCTAACCTGGCCCTCATGCCCCCGTACAAAGGTTACGACACCGCCGCTGACCCCAGCATCTCCAACATTTTCTCCACCGCTGCCTTTCGGTTTGCACATGTGACCGTGCATCCGGTGGTGAACCGCCTCGGACCCGATTACCGGTTGAGCCCTGAGCACCCGGCTCTGCCGTTACACCACTCTTTGTTTGCATCCTGGAGGGTCGTGCAAGAGGGTTTGTTTCACACACACACACACACACACACACACACACTTGAGGCAAGACACCACAAGCAAATAAAATCATCATACTTCTCCTGCTGATTAATCTCAGTCCTTTAAGACAACCGTTTTGTACTACAAGTTCTCCGAAATGTTTAAATATCCAAATGAAGCATTGTTTAATTAAATGTGCACTTATTTGCATACATTTCCAGAACATAAATCTCAACATTAGATAAAGCCAGGGTTAATTGTTGTTTCATTTTGTTGGCATATAAGGTTTTTACAGATGGATTTTAGATTTCTCTTTTTATCTATCGGAAGATACTGTCAACAGCGCAAAAAAATAAACAAATAAAATAAAATGTTAAATATATAAATTTGGTGAATGATATATGAACCTCCACAATATAGATAGAAATAAATGTTTGGTGTATAAACTAACTATTTTGAGTTTATATCTTTCATTTATATCTTTATAGCCACAGAATAAAAAAGCAATTGACTTTATCTCGCAATTCTAACTTTTTCTTGCCATTGCAAATTAATATGTCATATTTCTGACTTTTTTTCTCAGAATTGTGAGATAGAAACTCAGAATTGCGAGAAAAAAAGTCAGAATTGTGAGATAAAAAGATGCAATTACATTTCATATTCCATGTCGGAAATGGGTTTCCATAAATTTCTGGCTCAGTGCAGGAAAAAATAAATAAATAAATCAAGGGTGTAGAATTTAGTAGGGACTCTCGGGTCATGTCTCTACCAATATCCAGTGACTACTAAATTGTCTCAGAATCAGTTAAACCATTGGGTTGCAAAATGATTCATTGTTTTAAAGCACTCCACTCGGAGCATGTATAGCGAATCATTTGATTCAGATCAGGACTTTGGAGCACATATTAATATTGATTATTTTGCATGCCCGTTTACTCAGCAGCATCGCGTTATGATGCATGATGAATGTTTTTCTGTGTGTAGGTGGCATCGATCCTGTGCTGCGTGGTTTGCTGTTGTCCCCGGCTAAACTGCAGACAGCAGATCAGATGATGGTGGAGGAACTGACCGAGAGGCTCTTCCAGGCTCAGGGAGGGCTGCCGCTGGACCTGGCCGCGTTAAACCTGCAGAGGGGACGAGACCATGGCCTACAAGGTGCCAGTCAGCAGATATGCTTTATTATGTTTATTTTTTTTAAATCTAATTTTTATGTTTTTTAAGGCAGCTCACTTATTTATTTTTTTCTTTATTGGTAAAGATTCAGTTATAACTTATTACAAAAAAATTGCAACTTGTAACAAAAAATAAAAATAATAACATGACAATTTTTTTATTTATTTATTTGAAACTTGCAAGCCATTTTTTGTTTATTTGTTTGTTAATATTTTTTATGTTTATGAAGGCAGCTCACTTATTTATTTATTTTTTTCTTTATTGGTAAAGATAAGCATATTATCTTTATATATTATCTTAAGCATATTAAACTTATAACAAAAAAATAGCAAATTACAACAAAAAATAAAAATAATTACAATAATAATAACATTACATAAGAATTTAGTTATTTATTTATCTATTTATTTGAAACTTGCAAGCCATTTTTTGTTTATTTGATTATTAATTTTGTTTGTTTATGAAGGCAGCTTGCTTCATAACCTACAGTGTTTCATCTTTTTTTTTCTTTATTAGGAAAGATTCCGTTACAACTTATTAAAACTCCTGTCATGTTTACACTTAGAAAAATATAAAAATGTGCAAAAAAAAAACAATGTTTAAAACTTAAACATAAGAAGATAAATATCCACATCATTTAAAAAATATTTATTTACTTACTTACATGCTTTGATCTAATGTCAAACTCATAAATGAGTTTCCTGACATTATCTCTCTCCTTATTTAGAACGGTTTACTTATAGTTTGCTCATTTTATTTCCTAATATTGTGCTAATTTTACTTTACCTTTACCTTAACCTGAGAATGTCACACTAGAGTTTTAACCTAAAAATATTACAATAACTTGACATTATTATTTTTTTACATTTCAAACCATGAATATCATGAATGAAATACTTAATAATATTTAATAATAATTAAAGTATTTATTTCACTCTCTCTGCAGGTTACAGTGCGTGGCGGGAGCTCTGCGGTCTCTTTGCACCTGCGAATGAGTCTGATTTAGCAGGCATTCTGGGAAATGTAGTTCTGGCCAGGAAGCTGCTGCATCTCTATGGAACAGCTAAGAACATAGACGTGTGGGTCGGGGCCATTTCAGAGCCGGCTCTGCCTGGGGGCCGCGTGGGGCCCCTGCTGGCCTGCCTGATCGCCAAACAGTTCAAAGCGCTCCGAGACGGTGACAGGTAATGTGATTCACTTCCTTTTATTATTATTTAGTTTGCGACAGTGTTGAGTTATTTCAATGTGCCATGATATGAAGTACATAATTAAATGTGGTTTAGGTTCTGGTGGCAGAATGAAGGTGTGTTCAGCTCGGTTCAGAGAGACGCTCTGCGCACCACATCTCTGTCCCGCATCATCTGTGACAACACTCACATCCGGCTGGTGCCCTTTGACCCCTTTGCGCACACACTCCACCCCGACGACCTGCTACCCTGCACACGCATCGGATACATGAACCTCTCAGCGTGGAGAGAGACAGACACCGGTATTAGCGACCGAAAGGATGAAAACAATCATATAATCCTTTTATTTTATGTGGGTTATTCATATTGTCCCAATATTTGGGTGTCATTTTCAGACCCGGTGTGTGGCGCGGTCCCGCGGTTGAATCTGGGTTTCTCTGTGCTGTGTGAATCTGCGGTGATGTATCAGTGTCCTACTGGATACCTGCTCCAGGGAGCCACACAAATCACCTGTGACCCCAACACCCACCAGTGGACCCCACAAACGCCCACATGCCAAGGTTAAATAAAAAAATAAAAAAATTTAGTTACATATTAATGATCAAATATTACATTGAGTATTACATAATAAATGTAAAATACCATTAGATTATATATTAAATTACATAGTAAATATTAATTATACAGTAGTAATAAATTAATATTAAATAAAATTATTAAAATCAAATAAAATTTAATTAAATATTAAATTAATTTGGGAAATTGAGTGATCCATCTGACACCCAGTTTATAAAAACAATATTTTTTGCTGAATGTTCCACTTATTTGTTTTCGATATTTGAACATTTATGTGCATTTTTAAATTACATACTAAATAACAAATATTACATGTAAATAACATTAGATTAAATATTAATGACACAATATTAAACAACTAATATTAAATATTGAATAAAATTAAAGATGCAAGTCGAATTAAATTAAGTATTAAATTAAATTTGGAAATTGACTGGTCCATCAGACACCCAATTTATTAAAACAATGTTTTTTGGGGGGTTATTTTAAATATTGATGAATGTTCCACTTATTTCTTTTGAACATTTGGACATTCATGTACATTTTTAAACTAAACTAAATAATAAATATCAAATATTACATCAAATATTAAATGTAAAATAAATTGGATTAAATATTAAATGTATTAGTAAATATTAATGATAATATTAAACAATTAAATATTAAATTAATTAATTAATTTAAATATTTATTAGTAAATAAATAATAAAGTATAGAACTATGCATTTATGTTTTATTTTAAATATTGATGAATGTTCCATTCAAATAAAATAAAATAAATAGAATTAAATACTACATATAAAATAACATTATATTAAATATTAAATTAAATGGTAAAAACCTTTAAACACAAATATAAACACCACTTTAAGAGCACAAGTAGATGCAGTCAAATACAAAACAGGATTCAGCGCACACAGGATTTAAATGCTGGTGCAGCCAACAGTTTGCCGCAACATTAATGATAAAATATCAAACCGTTAATATTAATTATTAAATAAAATTAAGTATTAAATAAGATCAGGTCAAATTAATTTAAATGAAATTTAGAAATTGACTGATCCATCTGACACCCAATTTATTAAAAATGTGTTCATTGATATTTTCAGATATTGATGAATGTTCCACTCATCCGTCCGTCTGCCCTCCACACCTGCAGTGCTTGAACACACCTGGAGGTCACACCTGCACAGGTGAGCAGTAACCAGCAGCTTCCTCAATCCATGGCATATTAATCACATAAATAAATGAGCGATTATTTGTTGCATATACAGAACCTGCAGCTCCGCCCCTTTCCGCCTCCTCCATTGTTGCGTCAGTGATGTCAGTCCTAGGGGGCGTGGCTTTGATAGTGCTCTTCCTCGCCTGCTATAATATTAAACAATTAAATATTAAATTAATTAATTAATTTAAATATTTATTAGTAAATAAATAATAAAGTATAGAACTATGCATTTATGTTTTATTTTAAATATTGATGAATGTTCCATTCAAATAAAATAAAATAAATAGAATTAAATACTACATATAAAATAACATTATATTAAATATTAAATTAAATGGTAAAAACCTTTAAACACAAATATAAACACCACTTTAAGAGCACAAGTAGATGCAGTCAAATACAAAACAGGATTCAGCGCACACAGGATTTAAATGCTGGTGCAGCCAACAGTTTGCCGCAACATTAATGATAAAATATCAAACCGTTAATATTAATTATTAAATAAAATTAAGTATTAAATAAGATCAGGTCAAATTAATTTAAATGAAATTTAGAAATTGACTGATCCATCTGACACCCAATTTATTAAAAATGTGTTCATTGATATTTTCAGATATTGATGAATGTTCCACTCATCCGTCCGTCTGCCCTCCACACCTGCAGTGCTTGAACACACCTGGAGGTCACACCTGCACAGGTGAGCAGTAACCAGCAGCTTCCTCAATCCATGGCATATTAATCACATAAATAAATGAGCGATTATTTGTTGCATATACAGAACCTGCAGCTCCGCCCCTTTCCGCCTCCTCCATTGTTGCGTCAGTGATGTCAGTCCTAGGGGGCGTGGCTTTGATAGTGCTCTTCCTCGCCTGCTACCAAAGGTGTGTTGCAATCTCCACTTCAGGCTGCTGTTTTGTATGAGTAAACGTACAATACTCATAGCACGAATGTCAATCCTGCAGATTGTTCCTTCGGAAAGCCGAGCCGGTGAAGGTGGAATGCTGTCGGAGAAGAAGCTGAGATGGATTCAAGGGGAAACTGGTTTGGAAAACGTGCAGATTTTGGTCCTAGATGGTCTGTGTTTACATGTTTCATAACCACAGTCTCATTTCACACCGCTCGACCTGAAACACCGGACGGAAACACATTAATGAAACATGTGTGAACATGAATGAAAGCATTTTTTACATTTCTCCCAGTGTTCTCGCCCTTCAGAAAAGCCTTTGTCTGTGATAAATGTGCTGTCGGCTCAAAAATCATGTACAAAAATCCTTGCCATAATACTTTAGCCTTGTTGCTAAAAGGTCAGTAAGATTTTTTTTTTTTAAAGAAATTAATACTTTTCTTCAGCAAGGATGCATTAAATGTATCAAAAGTGAGAGTAAAGACATGTTATAATGTTACAAAAGATTTCAGGATTTTCTATATATATATATATATATATATATATATTCCAAAATATATAACTGACGGTATGTATGTTTGTACATTCATACATAAGTTATTATGAATAAAGCACACAGTTCTTACATGATGCTATATAGTTATTTTTGGAAAAAGTATTCATTATCCACAAAACAAAACTGAGTCACAAATGTATATTATGAAGATGCTTTTAATGGAGTTTAAAGGTCATTTTTAACATGAAGAGGCTGTTTAACTAAAGCAACAGACCTGAGGGTAGACGTCATATTTAATGTGTCACGAATGAAAACAAGGCTGACAAATTTAACAATATATTTCCAAAACATTTCCAGTTGAAAAAAGACAAAACCACCTATTAATGACATGTTTTCTCTCACATCAAATTAAATATGATGACAATATGAAGCAGCACAACTGTTTTCAACATTGATAATAATCAGAAATCTTTCTTGAGCAGCAAATCAGCATATTAGAATGATTTCTGAAGATCATGTGACGCTGAAGACTGGAGTAATGATGCTGAAAATACAGCTTTGATCACAGAAATAAATTACATTTTACTATATATTCACAAAGAAAACTGTTACTTCAAATTATTATAATATTTCACAAATGTACTGTTTTTAACTGTATTTATAATCAAATAAAAGCAGCCTTAGTGAGCAGAAGAGGCTTCTATAAAAACACAAAATCTTACCAACCTCAAACTTTTGAATGATAGTGTACATGTTTGTAGCATAATATTAATATTTGTTCATAGACATCTTATTAGTTATTTTCTATGTTTTTCTCGTGCTAAACTTGTTTTGCTGCTCAAAATTAGGTGCTGCGTGTTCATATATATGAATTTATGCTTAGCCAATAGAATCCAAGATTGTGCTGTGACATCACATATGTATATATATATATATATATATGTATATATATATATATATATATATATGTATATATATGTATAATAAAGAACACAGTTCTTACATGATGCTATATAGTTATTTTTGGAAAAAGTATTCATTATCCACAAAACAAAACTGAGTCACAAATGTATATTATGAAGATGCTTTTAATGGAGTTTAAAGGTCATTTTTAACATGAAGAGGCTGTTTAACTAAAGCAACAGACCTGAGGGTAGACGTCATATTTAATGTGTCACGAATGAAAACAAGGCTGACAAATTTAACAATATATTTCCAAAACATTTCCAGTTGAAAAAAGACAAAACCACCTATTAATGACATGTTTTCTCTCACATCAAATTAAATATGATGACAGTCCACCAAAAGCGAGTTCTACACTGTAAACACTGTATTCGTGCCATAAGACAGCGATTGTCAGTCATGCAACATTTATTATCTATAATACGTAGTGCGATGCATCATGGTACAAGGACCATAACTTGTGTTCGATGGTTTAGCATCCATAACATAAGTGCTGGTGGTGACAGAAAGAGACTCACATGGCACTTCTCGACACTTGCATAGAAAAGATTTCTGGAGGATTGTCCATTCAAAGCTGTAAACCATTAATGTGCACAAAAAACACTGGTGCACAAAGCATGCTGGGAAACAAAGCGCCTTAGTGTGGTGTATGTGTATTGCACATGAAGGTGCAGTGCCTTCAGATGAAGTTCTAGCACTGCTTTAGAACTGATTCTATTGTTGGAATTACCGTAATTATGAGTTTCCAACTAGTAAGCATTCACATCTTTGTCAAACTGGTAATGAACTGGTTTTAAAAGATTTGGAAGAACCTACAGGACGTTGGAATATCAACCTTTTTATGTTCCGACTAAGAGCGAAAACAACATAAGACTTCTTCAAATACAAATCTTTCTAGAATTCAAAAAACTTAAAATGTGTGCCAATATTTTTCTGAACTGAGGAACGCTAGATTTGAGGGTTCAAGCTATGAACTCTGCCATCATGTGTTTAATGGATGACTCTGAATTTCTCTGCAAATGGCAAGTTAAATGTCAGTATGGAAGCTTATTTCTGCCACGGAATAAAAAAATTGTGATTGTAATTGTGTTTATATCTCACGATTCAAACTTTTTCCCTCACAATTCTGAGAACATTCTGAGACATAAACACTCAAATGCGAGATGTAAAACTGAGAAGAAAAGTCAAAATTGTGGGATATAAACTTGAGAATTGTGAGATAAAAAGTCAGTTAGCTTTTTAATTTTTCTATTGTGTGGCAAAAACAGAAAAATTGAATTCTGAGAGAAAGTCAGATGTAAATCAGAATTCCAAAAACAACAACAAAAAAATCTGATTTTCAAGATGTAAATTCAGAATTCTGAGGGGAAGTCCCCCCCCCCAAAAAATCTGATTTTCAAGATGTAAATTCAGAATTCTGAGGGAAATTCCAAGAAAAAAAAATCTGATTTTCAAGATGTAAATTCAGAATTCTGAGGGGAATTCCAAAAAAAAAAAAAAAATCTGATTTTAAATAATTCTGAGGGGAATACCAAAAAATCAGATTTTCAAGATGTAAATTCAAAATTCTGAGGGGAATTCCAAAAAAAAATCAGATTTTCAAGATGTAAATTCAAAATTCTGAGGGGAATTCCAAAAAAAAAAAAAAATCAGATTTTCAAGATGTAAATTCAAAATTCTGAGGGGAATTCCAAAAAAAATCAGATTTTCAAGATGTAAATTCAGAATTCTGAGGGGAATTCCAAAAAAAAAAAAATATCAGAATTCTGAGAGAGAAAAAAAGTGAACCGTGAGATGTAAGCTCGCAATGATGAGAAAAAAACTTTTAAAAAAGTCTAAATAAGCCTCCACGTGTTGGAGATTTTTTTACCGGTAAATGGAAAAAACGTCCTGTTGTTGACTTCTTGAAATATGAATGTCTTGTAAACATTTACCTCAGTGTTAACAAAGTGGCACATTTACTACACTCAGTCTTTCCCAAAGCAAAAACAGCACAAAGCCTGTGGAGAGTCAAACTGTACGGCTGTTATCCGTTAGCTCGGGGAGTGCTAGTGTTCTGGGAATTCCTCTCTAGTGCTTCCCTGAATACATACATGAATATGGAGCTATAAAACTCCAGCATGGGAGTGTTTGAGTGAAAGTTTAGATGACCGTGCTGTATTTGTGTTTGTAAGCTGGTTCTCTAGCTCTCCTCCGTCGGGAAATATCCCAGTTTGGCCACACTCATCTCTCTCCGCAGACGCATCACTTCCCAAAACATCTGCTGAACTGCAACCACAGGAAAATTACCGTAATTTTCTTCTGACATACTGTATTGCAATAACTTAAAACTTCATATTATATAGATATAAATTTAAGTATAAAATACAATTAAATTAAAAATATATTAATTACTCCGGAAAAAAGCATCTGAGAACTGCTTCTTAAAAGCGGGTTCTGAAGAATGAGAGGGAGAGATACAGTATAGACACGTACTCGTGCTCTGCTAGATGGAGATATATAGTAGTAATTCTCTTTATCTCCCAGTTTGATGCGATGTCGGCAGGGGCGGGACATGCCGCTCAATGCACATTTACTGTTCAATCAAAAGAGAACACTGGTCAAAGGAGCTGTCAATCAAACTACTGAACACTCTTAACAGCCAATAAGATACAAGCAGGACGGAACAACACGCCCAGCAAAGAACAAAACACAGAAAACCTGTTCTTCACCTGTGTGAAACTAATTACTTTCAACAAACATTTCTAACACTGAAACATATACATTAGATATATAATATAAAATAAATATTAAATATTAATAATAAATTATACTAAGTGAGATGCACATTGCAAGACAAGGGGTTTTCACAAAAATAAAATTAAATAATTGAATTATTCGTTAAAAATTAATTACAAAAATATATATATTAAAAATGATTTATTCTCCAGACAGAAAGGAATTGAGAATGATGTGTTAGCGTAAACAGGATTTCATGCACATTTGTTTTTTGCATTCACTCACGTTTCTATGGGTGTCCGGCAACCGCTGTGAAAACAACCCCAGATCAAACAGTGATTAAAGTGTGATTAAAGTGTGATTAAAGTGCGACTTCCCAGATCAAAGTGCAATCGGTCTGATTCATGTGCATCAGTGCAGGCAGAATTAAAGTGAGTCCCACATGCTACATGATGAATCAAAGCAGAAGCCAGGTGAAGCAGTGTAAGAGCTGTTGGTGTGGCTGCTATGAAGGTATTAAATAAAAGTACGTAATTTAAATTTTTTTTTTTTATTATTTAAAAGGATTTAAAAGGATTTATTTTAATTTTAAATAAATGTTTATATATATTTTAATGTGCTTTCTATGGACATAAAATCACTTTTGTAAATTTATTCTGATGCGGACATCTTAATGTGTGTGTATATTATATATAGTTAATTTATAGCTAGTTAATTTAGTTAAGTTTAATTACCTTTCTAAAAATGCAAAGTGCATCATAAATAGCATTCTGACAAATTTGAAAAGAAATGCAACAAAACTCACATAACTTTTTCTGTTTGAGTTCTTTATTGGATTTGTCATTATATAAATAAAGATATGCCATGCGCATTATTTGAGGAAGTAAATGAGTTATTATTTGGGTAGACAAGGGAGCAAACTGATTCTGACACATGCATGATTTGTCTGCTTGACCAAAAGCATGAAAGAAAGTGGCTGATGTGTTTTGTTTATTCAGAGATGACTCACTTGGGGCCTCCACATTCGATGGCTTTGACCGTGTGCAGAGACGACATGGAGACGGGCTCGATGGTGAGAGAGTTATTCTCCACTGCGCACTGGACAGACTGAGACAACTGCAGGAAAAGCAGAAGAGAAAGTCAGAGCGAGGACACACAGCTGATCAGAGGACGACAGCAGAGCTCACACACCTCAGAGCAGGTGAATGAAAGACAGGGCCCGATATCTTCTCTGTACACCCTGCTGATGAACGCTAAAGAACGGTCCAGACTGGGTGTCTCCTTCCACGAGAGGAACTCTGCAAACAACACCGAGTCCAGCTAGATAAAAGAGAGAGAGTTTAGTTTATCCTGCTTAGCCACTCAATTAATTAATGCTACTTTCAGAAGTCATTTCTTTTTCGTAAATGTGTTGATCTTGTTTTGTTTCTCAGCTGAAAAAAGGTCAAACTAGCCACAGTGGTTTGCTGGTCTAACTGGGGCACCACACTGGTGTTATTTTAGTATTATTTCTATATATATTTATAGTATTTATTCATGTTTTTAATAATGTTATAAATTATAAAATATTTTATAATAATTAATGTATTAATATAATTATTATATATACATTTTAAAATAAATAAATAATTATTTATTTATTTTATTTATAATATTTATTTATTTGTTTGTTGATTTATGTAGTCACAATTAATGTTTATTTTATTTTTACTTTGTTTTGTATTTATTAACATATATTATTGATATTATCAATATATTAATATTCATAGTTATTAGATTTTTATTATTTTGATATTTATTAATATATTATATTATTATTTTAATTTGTTTTCTATTATTCATATCTCTAAAATATACCTAATATATAACAATTTATTTTTAATATTTATTTATATTTTTATATTTTCTTTGTTTTTTATATTTATTATAATATTTTATTAATATCACATGTTCAGTACTTCATTTTCATTTTTTTATTCAATCTAATATTTTATTTTATTTCAGCTTTATTTCAATTAACAAAAATGACTTGTATTACTTTTAGTTAACGATAACAACGCTGCGCTGATCAGACCGGTCTAGTATTGATTTTACAGGCCGCTTGTCAACTGGTCAGACCAGCAAAACCACCTTAAACCAAGAAAGACCAGCAACCCACCTTTCGCTGCATTAAGCCGTTTTGTTTTTTTCACAGCAAGAAAGCAAAATAAAGTTCTACTTCGGAACTCTTTGTAACCTGTTGCCATGGAGACCTGCCAAGCAGTTACCTGGCAACAGGAAGCCCCTGCCAGCAGGGTTGACACACAGGTCACACAGAGCAGCTGACCAGGAATCAGACACACAGTATCAGAGAGAGGAGAACAGCAGCTGCACAGATCAGAGAAACACAGAGCCATGAGGAGGTGCGGAGGAGGAGGAAAACAGAGGAAGAACGGCAGGAAGTCAGTCATCAAACCTTCATCATGCAGCTACAGACCAAAACCAGTCCCTAAAAGCCCATGAGTTTTCAGGAGTGTGTTTGTACCTCTTTGTCCTCCCGGTTTGTCGCTACATCCGTCGGCGTGGGCTCTGTTTGCAGCTGTAGAGCACCGCTGGCGCTCTTGTTGCGCGTGTGGCCCCTGAGACGAGACGAGGCCCGACTGGGGCCCGGCGACAGCAGCTGAGGATGGAGCTGGCGGTTCGGGGAGGAGGGCGTCGAGGTCAGCACCAGGGTTTTCAGAGCGGAGACCTCCGCCTGCAGGACATCAATCTGAGAAGACAGATGGATTTAGAGATTAAAGAGCCTGAGGTGAGCAGAGAGTGAGACAGAACGAGAGAGAACGCACCTTGCCCTGGGCCTCCTTCAGCTGCTTCTCAGCTGCCGCTTGTTTCACGTTGGCCTCTCGCACCATCTTATGGGCCTCCTAGAAATCAGAGATGAGCGCACACAAGTTTGTGATATGAAATACTTTTGGGAAGTAGACATGTCCTGTGGTCTGACATGCTAAACTTCATCGAAAAATATTCTGAATGGCATTTTGCTAATGTTTTATAGTTATGCATGCAGCATTTTTAACCAATTTAACATTAATGGTGAAACTACATGGAACATTTAATATATAAATTCAATTAAAAATAAAATTATAATAATAAGTACAAATGATTCATTATTAATTAAAAAAATATTTTT